ATAAGTGCTGAAAAGTCTGATTGCTCGAAGATTCATATGCTTTTCTTGTTACTTTAAATAAACACCACAAAAGCTATTTCAAATGTCAGTTTTCCTGCCCTGGAAGTAAGAAAAAGAGAGTGTCTGTCTGTCTGTCTCTCCCCCCACCCCTTCCTGTCCCCAAGCTTCTTCCTTAAATCTTCCAACTACGGGGGCCCCTGGCTGCTCAGTTGGTAGAGCATACAACTCTTGATCTCTGGGTCATGAGTTTAAATCCCACACTGGGCATGGAGCCTACTTTAAAAAAAATCTTCCAATCATGACAGTATAAAAGAAATTCTAGTAATATAATCAACTACACCAAAAAACACATGAAATTTCATCAAATATTTTCTAAATCAACTTATCCTAATTTTAAAAATCTATATGTAGAAAGCTTGCTCTAAACTCTGATTCAGGGCGCCTGGGTGGCTCACGTTGGTTAAGTGTCCAACTCTTGATTTCAGATCAGGTCAAGATCTCAGGGTTGCGAGACTGAGACCCATGCTGGGCTCCATACTTAGTGGGGAGTCTGCTTGAGATTCTATCTCCTTCTCCCTCTGCCCCTCCCCATGCTCACATGTGCTCTCTCTCGCTTGCTCTCCCCCCCCCCAAAAAGAAAAGAAATTCTGATTTATTCAAACAGGTAACTAAGCATGATTTAATGCCACATGGCTTACCAAAAGTCACAGAGAGACAATGAAATGTCACTTCCTACAGTTATTTTCATGTAGTTACCTTTGCTTATTACTACATTCATTTTGCTTCCACCTAAAGACCTATTTTTGTGAGAATAACAATCTGTAGTTACCAGACATATTTAGACAGACAAACCAAAAGGGTTCAGAAGAACGAAAAGGAAAAGGATGACCATAACCCAGAAAGCTTTTAAGGGAGATGAGGCTGCTTTTGGAAAGCTGGAAAGATGCACTAGCCATAGACACCAAGATTAATATAAATACATGTTAGCTCTTAATTAGACACATATGTAGTTTTTCTGTTTTGGCTTAGCCATTCCAAATGTTTAAACTACTTCTATTCTTGGGGTGCCTGGCTGGCTCAGAAGAGCATCCAACTCTTGATCTCGGGGTCAAGAGTTCAAGCCCCACAATGGATGGAGAGATTACAGAAAAATAATAAACTTAAAAAAATAATAAAAATAAATAAACTAGTTCTACTCTTGGGGCTCCATACAACCTATCTTACTCCATAAATTTGGTACACACAAAAACAGTATTTGTTAAATAGATGGCTGAATGTAAACTCAAAAGTCAACTTTAGACTAAAAAGAGATATAGAGAAGTAACCTATTGAACAGGAGGGAATGAAAGAAGAACAAGTTTAGGATTATCCAAATCTTAACTCTCTTGCTTTACCCTTTCATCCATTTCCCCCCCCATTCATTCAGTAAACCTCTACTGAGTACAAAATCAAGGATGGCCAGGATATCTTTTCAGCCGTCTGGTGAAGTCTATGCACCATTTTCCAGAATATTATTTCTAAATGCATAAAGTAAAATAAATAGGAATAAAGGGGAAACCAATTATATTGACGCAGTTATTAAAATATTTAAATTTTTGTGATATAATGTTTTCATTAACATTAAATTACAATACTTAACATTGAGTTTAATAACTACTTCCCAGTAATGACGACTAGAAACCCCATTGTGAGATATCTGCAACTATAATAAATTACCTGTGGATTTATACTGGTAACAAAGTAACTCATACTGTCAATACTACTGTTTTTTTGTTGCCTACTTTAATAGTGGGAGGCAATACTTAATTTCAGTTACAGGTTACCAGTGAAAAGATGTAATTTTCCCCAACCAAGTTCAGGGACCCGAAGCCAGCCCAATCATCTTTGGGTGTGATCAAAGTAAACAACTGGGAAACAAAGCACAGTCAAAAACTACTTTAAGATATCGGGAAAGTTTATGAACTAATTTAAATTCAATAAATTCAATTCCTTTAACCTGTATTACAGAAAATTCATTAACGTGACAGGAAAAAGAAACCCAATGATACGAAACTACAGAAATATAGTGTATTCAACTTCAATCAGGACTTTTAAAATAAATACTTTTATGGAATATATGCATTTAAAATTTTCTGTTGAAAGGAAAAGTGACTCCCTAAACCATGACAGAGAAAGAGACATACAGAACCACAGGGCTGCACACAGGAAAGTTTATACCATTAAGTCCCAGTTCTCACCAGTTAAATACTGAGAACAGTTATGCAGAAACTGTAAGTGTGTCATTTATAAAGAGTTCACAACCAGACTGCTATCAATCCCATGTTTACTCGTTGGAAATGCACTGCTAGGAATCTGTTCACCAAAGCTCCAACAATTAAGGGGGATGGAGGGTGATTAACTTCCCAGTCAGTCATGCAGACAGAATACAAGCTTGTTTCTATAGCTAGAACCAAGCTACATTTTATCTACTATAAGATGCTAATTTGAAACATTTTAAAAAAAACTTGGAAGGTCATAGTTTCAGTCATAAACCTTTAAAGATTACAAAAAAGAACTTATTTCCTCCAAAAGGAAATTGAACATTCTGAATCTATATAACATCTCAAAATATTACACTCTGAGGTCAACGTAATAGTAAAGGAAAAGGGGACATCTGATAAAAGGGAGGCTGAACCGAGGGATAATGGGTATGCTCTGCCCACCAAAAGATTTCTTTTCCTTGTACTTGCTTCAGTCATATGTAATGACCAAATCTTTTAGCTATTTACATTAATTTTGCTTTATCCGTTGTATTTAACTAAGAACTGTATCTAAGTATTTCAACTATTTATTGAACATGTACTGTGAGAAAGACACTATGCTAGGCTCTATGGTGTGCACAAAGGAAGATCTGGTCCTGCTCTTAGAGGATAGCACTGAAAGGCCTGTCACTCAGTCCCATCGCCAGAAAGTTCACCTGTTTCTCACAAATCAATATAATCTGATTACTAACATAATGTCTCTCCCACCTGTCCCAAGTCAGGCATTCTCAGAGTCCAAGACTTCCTTCTCCAAGCTACTGAAATAGCCTCCTCACCACAATCTGGGTCTTTCCTAAGTCACCAGATGCCCTTCTAAAGCACAGATCTCAAACTATCTCCCTTCTCAAAATCTTTCAACCACTCATCTCTGCATAAAGAACCAAACCCAAAGTTAAGTCATTCTAAATTATGTGCTGTTCACAAAACATTCTTCCATTTGTATCCTTTCAGGTTGTTCCTTCAACCCACAATGTCCCCTGCCTGGCCTCAAACTCAGCTCTTCTTGTTAAAGTCCTACATAATAGCCTTTATAGCCCTAAATCATAAAAACTTCCAGCCCTAACCATGAATCAGGTAGCTGACAGAAGAGGAAATACCTTCAACAACTCTAATTCAGTCCCCTATACATTTTCTAAGCTTATCCTGCCTTTGTGGCTGTTATCTTTCTGACTGTAAATATTCAGAAGCATATAACTGTTCCTTCAGCTTACATAAACAGTGATCAGCTCCATCAAATTAATCAGATGGCCTCTGGGTTCAAGTTTGTGAGCCCACAATGCTAAGGGCCAGATCCCAAACCACTATCACTCCCACCAAGGTACAATGCCATCCTGAAGGTATGTTTCTCCAACTTCAACACTTCCACAATTGGTTGGCTTTTCAGTAAGTTTTGACACAATGGAATGCTACTGTATCCCTTTAATGAGGTAGGTTTAGGGAAAAAGGACTAAAACTTGAGTATCTTAATTCTATGTAGGAGACAGTAGGACATGACAAGACTTTATAATCAGCTTATAGAGTTCAAATGAACCTTGTCAATATATCAAATAAAATCATGAAAGGTTAAGGTTTTTCATCCATGTCACAGAGCTACAACACTGGAGCCAGAACATAATTTTCCCCAATTACATGATCATTTACTTTTCTTAAATTAATTCGAAGCAGGCAATACTAAAAGAAAAATAATTAATCTGGGCATTTTAATCAGGTCAAAAAATTTTGTATCCTATAAATTTAAAATACACACCATCCAAATATAAAACTAGGATATCTGGCATAAATAGGATGAATAACAATAACTGGAAACGAGGAATGGTTAAAGACTACCAACAACTGAAGCAGTAATAATAATAGCTAGCAATTGTTAAAGGCAGCATTTAATATTTATGGGTATCAAGCTAAGCACTTAAATACATTTTTTTCATTTTAATCTTCACAGTAACTTTAAAGCATGATTCTCACAAAAGAGAAAGCTGAGGCATAGACAGCTTAAGTAACTTGTCCAAGATTATAAAATGAGTAAGCTATACTATCTACCTAGATCTGTGATAAACTTCTAAGCTGTTTGCTGTTAAGATTACCTTCAAATTATTTATCTTTAGAATAAAACTCCTTTGTAAAAAAAAAATCCCAACTAATGAAATTAGCTCACTCAGCCTTAGCGAACAGCTGTACAACCTACATTTAAAGAAAGCTTTTCTACGTAAGTTTATAAATTGGCTATCACCTTCATGTTAAAATTAGTTAAAATGTATCCAAAAGTTGATTTAGTCATTGACAGATGTGTCAATATATTTCACCAATACATCCTGAAACAAAAGGCTTTTATGAATTTTCAACCAAAATAATAGAAGTTAACATTATACACCCAAGAAATTAAAAACTTTAAAGAGATACCACAGCACAGGATTTACTTCATTCAGCTAAAGTTACCGTTTTTCTAACTCTTTTGGCCATTTTAATATTGAGCGTCTGGAGCACAAAACAGTATTTGCAAATCACTTAGTTGCAGGTACTTGACAGAATGGTGAATTCCATGGCCACCCACTAATCAAAGCCTCTTCATCTGTTATATACATGATCCAAGATTACTTACTTTGAAAAATATTACTATGCTACAAATCATTACCACTGATTGTTGAGAATTTGTGACATTTTATTCAACAGCTCGTCTGTTAGAACAAAAAGCTGTTAACCTACCTGTCACTGCTGGTACTACTGCTGCTGCTGATTGAGTCACTACTGGAGGATCTACTCCTAGAGCCGCTGCCGCTAGGGGACCTGGTAGGTCTAGACGCTTGGCTAGCCAGTCTCTGAGGAGACTGATTTCTAGACTGTGATGAATGTGGTGACCGACTCCTGCTGTGCTGGTAATTCCGCTCTGGCCTTCTGCCTCGTACCTCCCGGGTAATATCATCCCTGTAGATATCCCTGTGTACCACACTGGGCAGTGTAAACTGCTCCCGAGCCCTAGGTTCGTATCGGGGGTCATGAGCATCAAAACGGTTTGGACTTCGACTCCGAGAAGTATAATAGAGCCCATGTTGTAAAGTCCGCTCGCGAGGATCTCTATAGTAATCCTGATCGTAATGTCTTGTCCGATCAAATCCTCCCGTCCCCCGTTCATGGTGTCCATAGGCACTATGTTCATAAGCACGCTCCCTGTTATCTGAAGCCCTGCATTTAGGAGGGGGGGAAAAATATTTACTCAATCAGAAAAGGGCAAGCAAAACTAAAAGCAAGTCATGCAAACATTCATTTCAGCATTGTCTGTCTTTGCAACTGTAATTTGCTAAACAGCATTAACCTACTTAGTAAGCAAACACTACTAAGCTTAACATTTTACTTAACTCCAAAAATTATTTTCACAGCTGAGCAACCATTGTGTATATTGGGCTTTCATGACTAGTGTTCTGCAAGTCAGATGCTCTTTTTATTAGGGATTTTCTGGCTTATGTACAGAAATATACATATACCATCTCCTTTTCATTTGCAGTTTAATGGAACAAGAAGGGACTGTCATTTTAATATCAAAGTTTTCTATACTTCCACCTGATTGAAATATATACCAAACTTTTACTTGACAAATTTATTTTAGGCAAAATTTCCATAATACATTTTAACACTGACATGAAAGCCCTATTGCAATGTATGTCCCAGCAGTAAGAGGGCATTTTTCAAAGAAGTCCAGAAAAAAAATTTTTAAGTATAACTTTTTCTCATTAACTTTTGACTTCTTGAGTAATTATAAAAACTACCAGATTATGTAAACTCCTGTGCCCAATCACATTTAATAATAGAAATGGAATCTTAAAAGAAAAAGACAACAACTTTAAGTTCTCAAAATACTGGATTGACACATGCTATTCTATGGTAAATTCAATTAAAGAATAAAGATTATTTTATCTCCTGGTGCTATCAAATTCCACATAATTATTAAAACAACTATTCCATGATTCTACTTGTTAATGTCTATACTTAATGTTTACAGGAAATATACTCTCAAAGGTTTTAGCTAAAATCAAATCGCCTCTGATGAAATCAGCCAACTTTGGAAACTAAGATATTCATTTGAAGGTTGCTATCAGCAATGGTTTAACCTAAAAAAAAAATTTCTGTAGGACATGAATATTTGCCAACCTACGGTTACAAAAAATTGTTGCATGTTCAATTACACACATGCAATTATGTGTTAATACTGAAAACCAATTCTAATCCTATAAAGAAATCTTAACATCTATTTTTGTAGGAAACCAGAACTCATTTCCTGAGTTCCTAAAAGACCATTTCATCGCTTGAATCTCAACTTGAGATTGAGTTTCTTCCCAACCTTATCTTTGGATCAGATCTTCTATCAAAAAATTAAGAAATCATCAAAAACAGAAAAATTAGAATCTTTCCAGTGAAGAACATCTGGCAAAAATCTTACAACTAATACTATGTCCCCAGTACATACATAGATCCAAATCTCTGCACTAATCTTCATTTTCACCCATCACTTCACTTAGTAGCAACCATACTTTCCTAGGCCATTTCTGCTTTTTGCTGCTATGATGTAAAGCAATTGGCATGGCAAAAAATTCAGTAATACCTTTCCTATTTAAATGTATTAAATAACTTTCTCCTTTTTAAATCTGCTACATTTCTGGCATTTGGATAGTATTTCAATGTCTAACAACAACAGGGTTTCCTTTGAGACTTAGAGAAAATTTCACAAATAATTCATTTAGCACCCTATCAAATGTTAATTGGTAAAAGCTGTTATTAACGATACAACAGAAGCAATAGGCAATAGTTCTAGGAGAATTACTGCTACAGCTGATATTTTAGGAAGATACAGAAGGCAGGCACAAGAACTAGCAGAGCTGAAATCTAATAGCTATTCTTTGATTCATCTATTAGTACTAAATACTTCTAGAGTTAGTGGGGGGAAAAAAGAGAGAGTTTGACTTGGGTTAGGAGAGGGGCTAATATACACAGGTCAGGACATACCAACCTTTTCCAAGTGTGGAAACACGACCTATAATCCCAATTAAATCTAGGGAGAGAATTGTGAACATAACTTCCCCAATTTTGGCCCCTCTTATGGGGGTAATCCACCTTCTTAATGGGCAAGGGTGTCAAATGATATTTAGATGAACCATAAGGAAAAAAAAAATCTTAGTGACCAGATAAAATAATTCCACTGGAAGCAAGTAGTCCCAGACAAACTGTAACTCTCAAACCCCCAGACTTCTTTCTTGAGATAGTAGACAATTATAAATTCATCCACATTCATAAAACTTTCCAGCCCTAAGTAGGAATCAGGCAGCTGACAGAAGAGGAAATATCCTCTACGATTCCACCAAATGAGGAAGGAACAGTTGCTCCCCATTAGTTCACCTTTGTAGCCATCCAGCATAGTCAATTTTGATTGCTGTATCCACAACTGATCGTCACCATGTGTTCAAGGCTAAAGTACCTTTAATTGGACAGCAACTTGCTTAAGAAACAAAATAGTAATCCTCTTCCCCTGGGCTAATGGAATCTTGACTGCATGACATCCCATACATTCCAGCAATTAGAAAAGAATGGCTATATTCCAGGATTTAGAAACATTCATCATCTCAAATTTCTCCCATTCCATCAAGGAGTATAATTCCAACATGGAAACTGTGTAGATCCAAAATGGAAAAAATCAAACATTGCCTTCACTCTTCTTCATCCAAGTACAGATTTCCAGATTAAAGTATTGTTTGTAGAATCCAAGCGGTTGAATCATTACGGTCTGCTAGGTTTTTGGGGACAATCCAATTTGTTTGTACACTTTGTGTAGTGAAAATTGAGAAGCAGATATCAACTTCTAAAAGAATCTGTAGGCTCTAATATTCCAGAAATATTCCATATAGTACAACCACAAAATCTGTAGCCAAATAGCTCCATCAGATAGCAGAGATATATCCAAGGAAGGCCTTCAGATTATCCAAGAGAAGGAATAATTAATTCTAGAAGACAGGTAACTCCAAAAATGATACTGCCATACAAAATCTTCCACCATTTTACATCTCAGGAGTAGATATCCAACCAGCTGCAGGAAATAATCCTCTACGATTCCACAAGATACCAGCCACTGGGATAGAAATCACTTCCGTTTCCAACCCAAAATAGGAAACATTGAGAATGCCCAAAACTTTAAATCCATCTGGGGCCCCTAAATATGAGTTTCTGTTTCTCACCATATCAAATACAAAATACCTGCCTACAGAAACCTTGGAACTTACCCATCAAGTCTCCGCTCATAACGTCCTTCTCGTGCATGAAGTGATGGTGGGGGGCCATAAGCAGGCCCTCCACCACCTCCTCTGAACCCAGAAACCTCTCTACTACGAGATGCTATGGAAACTGTATCATCCAATCCCCGAGCAGCACTCGGAATGGTGCCTGGTTCATTATAATCCGTGCGTAGGTCTCTATCTCCCATTTTGTTGACTGAGTTGTGAGCTTTCTGTGCACTTTTGATGTCCACAAAATCCACAAAGGCAGCCACTCCTCCTTCAGATCCCCTCTTGGGGAGAATTTTGACACTTTCCACACGGCCATATCTGGAAAAAATAAAACCAACATTATTGTTGCATAACAGTAATTTTCCAAGAACAGTTTTTGAAAATGTGTTTATTTTTAGACAATTTACATTATCTATGTATGTGGGAGGGGTTACAAAGTGACACTTAAGATGGCTTTTACACTCACATTTTTCTTTCTTGGGGAAAAATTTACAAATTTTTTTTTAAAGTAAGCTCTACACCCAATGTGGGGCTTGAACTCATGAGCCCTGAGTTCTAGAGTCACATGCTCTACCGAACCAGCCAGCCAGGTCCCCCAAAATTTGTTTTAACCATTTTATTACTCTCACTTCTTAAATATTTACTAAATTACTTTTCACCTTTTAAGAACCCTTAGCTGAAATGAATCTCTCAGATGTTTTATTTTTACATTCTGAAAAAAGTTACTAAACCTAAGATCGTTCAATGTTACTTAGAAATCTTTAAAAATGTTTACTTAACTGAAAATTATAACTAAAAATAGTTATTTTACAGATTTCATTTTAATTTAACTCATTAAGTGAAAATGATCTTACTGAAAAAATGAGATGATTCCACAATCTTTACTTGAAGGTAAAATAAATCCAAGTATTTTGTGTGTCCATTTGAAGTAACACACTTTTAAAAAAAGTAATTTTTTAAAGATTTTATTTATTTATCCAAGAGAGAGAGAAAGCATGAGCTGGGTGAGGGGCAGAGGGAGGACTACATGCTGAGCATGGAGCCCACCACAGGACTCGATCCCAGGACCCTGAGATCATGACCTGAGCCAAAGGCAGACACTTAAGCAACTGAGCCACCCAGGCGCCCCAACAGTCTAATTTTTTTTTAAAGATTTTTATTTATTCATGAGAGACAGAGAAAGAGAGAGGCAGAGGCAGAGGGAGAAACAGGCTCCCTGCTGAGCAGCGAGCCCAATGTGGGACTCAATCCCAGGATCCTGGGATCATGACCTGAGCCAAAGGCAGATAGATGCTTAACCATCTGAGCCATTCAGGAGCCCAACAGTCTAATTTTTTAATGCAGTTTTCTGCTATTTAACTTTTTCCAGGAGGTTAAAACTACTAAAATTTATAATTTAGGTATACTTAAAATTGCTTTTCATTTAAATTAATAAATTTGAGAAAATCTTTTGATAGATCCTATGCTCCCATTTTTATTTAAAAAAATGCTTGATATGTCTGTAAAGAAAAATTTTAGGGCACCTTTTATATTTGGAAGATATATGTAAGAAATATACTGATTTGGAATTTTAAAAGTCATGAAAATTCTATGAATTTCATTAGGAGTTAACTACACTTTATGCACTTGTATCTGGTATTTTAGAAAGGCAGGCACAGCAATTTTAAATATAGCATTCTTATTTGCTGACAAACCAAAATCATAATTTTACACTTCTCCTGGAGCTGACATAATCAGAAAGCAGAACTTTTCTCTACATTCTCTAGTATAAGTTATACCTCTCACAAGGGAAACATAATCCTAAAATTCTGTTTTATCAGGCAACTGAACCAGAAGTAACAGTTATTTGTTGATACTGAATTAATGAAAGGATCTTTTTAAATTTGGAAAAAATTTGATAGAAATTGGAGTAATTTTTTTCCATACAAACATTAAACAATACCTTCCACTGTATCTGACAAAGGACTTGTATCCAGAGTATAAGAAATCTTGTAATTCAACCCATTTTTAAATAGGCAAAACAACAAAGGAGACACACAGATGGCAGATAAACCCAGGAAAATATGCTCAAAATTATTAGTCATTAGGGAAATGCAAATCAAAACCACAATAAGATACCACTTCACATCCACTAGGATGACTATTTAAGGCAGAAAAAAAAAAAGGAAGAAAAGAACAAGTATTGACAAGAATGCAGAAAAATTTGAAATCCAGTGCAGATCTAGTAGAACTATAAAATCGTGCAGCCACTGTGGAAAAGTTTGGCATTTTCTCAAGAAGTTAAGCACAGAATTATCATATGACCCAGCAATTCCACTCCTTAAGTGAAAACTGGGGCTCAAATACACATGTGTACACCAATGTTCACTGCAGCATTATTTACAAAAGCCAAAAGATGGAAACAACCCTAGTGTCTACTCATGAATGAACAAACAAAATGTGAAATATACATATAATGGGATAGTATATTAAGACATAAAAAGAAACGAAGTTTTGATACATGACACAACATGGAAAAAAATTATTTAAACCACCACCCTAAATGAAATAAGCCAGACACAAAAGGACAATTCATTTATGATTCCACTTATATGAGGTATCTAGAATAGGCAAATTCATAGAGACGGAAAGTAGAACAGAGGTTAGGAGGAGCAGAGACAAGAGGGAAATGGGGAGTTGTTGCTTAATGGGTATAGAATTTCTGTATGGGATGAAAAAATTCTAGAAATAGATAGTGGTAATGGTTATATATAACACCATGAATGTACTTAACACCACTGAGTTGTATACCTAAAAATGGTTAAAATAAATGTTATATTATGCATATTTTACCACACCCACACCTACAAAGTTTATCACTAAATGGAAGGTTGCATAGGTTTTTCTTTTTCTTTTTAAAGATTTTTATTTGACAGAGAAAGACACAGCGAGAGAGGGAACACAAGCATGGGCAGAGAGAGAGGGAAGCCCCATGTGGGGCTCGATCCCAGGACCCTGGGTTCATGACCTGAGCTGAAGGCAGACGCTTAACGACTGAGCCACCCAGGCGCCCCTGCATAGGTTTTTCTATTTAAAAAAAGGGCGCCTGGATGGCTCAGTCAATTAAACATCTGATTCTTGATTTCAGCTCAGGTCATGATCTCAGGGTCGTGGAATCGAGCCCCAAGCGGGGAGTCTGCTTGAGATTCTCTCCATCGCCCTCTGCCCCTCCCCCATGCCTGCACGCGTTTGTGCTTGCTCTCTAAAATAAATAAATTAATAAAAAAAAAAAAAGAAAGAGGGAAGCAGCAAAGGGAAGCAACTCCCATCAAAAAGTCAGTTAGCCAAAGAATAATACAGGGAAAACAAATGTTTAAGCTTATGTCCTGAATAACAAAGAGTTAAATACAATACTATGCATTGATTATTAATTACCCAATAATCATTCCATAGATTATGGGTATAAAATAAAGTCAAATCATGCTCCCTTCCTCAGAAGGGCAGGCTTACCATCTCTATCATTTTTATATAAGGAGAGCACACTCTAGAAACAAGACATAAATTTATCTTCCAATTCAAAAAAAGGAGAACTCGATGAAGTATTACAACTCTACATTACTCTTCTATACTGAGAGGACTGGAAACTCCCAAATTAAAAAAAAAAAAAAAAAAGGCAGTATCTAACTCTTCATATCCATGAAAACTCAGCTGGTAAAGGTGATGTCCTGATTTTGTCTACTCTTTCCAAAATAACACATTACCTAGTTTTCAAGTATTCCTCAAGTATTCAAGATGAAACATTTATCTGACATTTAGTAGTCAAAAAAGAATCAAACCACAATTAGGTAATATTTCCTTTTCAACAACATCAAGCCTTAGATACATACAGGTTTTCAGAGAACCTATGGAATATTTTCCAGTAATACATAGAAAATATCAATTTCTAAAATTACATGGTCACTAGTTATGTGATTAAGTTAACTCATTTATAACTTCTCAAGAATTAAGAGAACCTAAGTTTAAAATAAATGAGAACATAAAGCTAAGAAATTGTGTTTGACTGCTACAAGCTGCAGTATATAACTATTTAATAGGTTTGTCTTCAAAAACACAGTAAAGACAATACTAAATTGGCTTCTGGGTGCCTGGGTGGCTCAGTTGGTTAAGCGACTGCCTTTGGCTCAGGTCATGATCCTGGAGTCCCGGGATCGAGTCCCACGTCGGGCTCCCTGCTCAGCAGGGAGCCTGCTTCTCCCTCTGACCCTCCCCCCTCTCATGTGCTCTCTCTTTCTCTCTCTCAATTAAATAAATAAATCTTTAAAAAAAAATAAATAAATAAATTGGCTTCTGTTTGGTCAAAATGTTCAACATTAAAAAATACTAAACTGATCAACATATACTGTATTCTAAGTTTTTAAGAGTCAATTTAAAAATTATCCAAGATAAGGGTGCCTGGTTGGTTCAGTCGGTACAGCATTCAACTCTTAATCTCAGGGTCCTGGGTTCAAGCCTCACGTTGGGGGAGCCTACTTAAAAAAAAAAAAAAAAAAATTACCCAAAATAATGCCAGATTTGGTGAAATGTTTGGTCTCCTTTCAACAAAAGACAATTTAGGGGCACCTGGCTGGTTCATTCAGTGGAGCTTGTGACTCTTGATCTTGAGGTTGTGGGTTTGAGCCCCATGTTGGGGGTAAAGATTACTTTTTTTTTTTTTAAGATTTTATTTATTTATTTGACAGAATGAGAGAGCAGGAGAGCACCAACAGTGGAAGCAGCAGAGGGAGAGGAAGAAGCAGGCCCCCCGACGAGCAGGGAGCCCGATGTGGGGCTCAATCCCAGGACCCTGGGATCATGACTGAGCCAAAGGCAGTCACTCAACCAACTGAGCCACCCAGGTGTCCCTAAAGATTACTTTAAAAAAAAAACCCACAATGGACAATTTATATAATAAGCACTGACAGTCCTTAGCAGTTCCTTGAAGGATATAATTTCAGTGAATTAATGGTCTCAGAGTTCACAATGGAAAGCAATGTTGACATAGTGGAGGAAAAGCATGAGAGTGTAAGAAAAGAGACTAATGTTCTGATCCTAATTCAATTATTAATTATATGATTTTTAACAGGTACTGTTCTAGGCACCTGATGCATATCAAGCAACAAAGCAAAGATCCCTAGCCTGAGGGAATTTAATTACAATTTAGATCCCTGACAGGTGAAGAGCAGTCCTATTCTAAACTGTTTTTATCAACTCCACAAGAAACTTACTCTATAAGTTCCAAAGCAACACCATTACATAAAGCTAAAGACATAACCCTCAACATAGACATACTTCTCAATGCC